GCCACCTGCTAGCTGTGTGAACTTACATAAGTCATTTAACCTCTCTGGGCTCTGACACCTAAATTTGTGAAATGGGGATATAGTGTCCATGCTGTAAAGGAGCTGGAGTGAGATGCAGGTGAGGGCAGATGAGGGCAGGTAAAATCCCTGCCAGAGTGGCCAGCATATAGTAGCCAATGTCACCGTTCTATGGGCAATACTAGAGGCTGCTCTTAATGAAAGGGCAAATACAAAAGGATGGCACAAGTGGGTAAGGATTACATGAGCACAGTGAAAGACAGGCGGGCCTCAACTTGTGAGACCCATGAAGAATACGCTGGGTTCTTTGGTACAATCATCAAGAAGGCAAGTCTTGCCTGGAGCAGCCGGTGCATTGCCAACACCGTGCTCCGAGGACGCTGTTGCAAGGCTGTGTCCACAAGGCTGATCACTGACAAGGCCAGTGTCATGTCGCAGGAAGGCAGGTTGGAGTCCTCCCGCCGCTGCTGTTTCTCCATTAGAACCATGTGCTTGAGCAAAGAAAACAGTCAAGATGTGAATGTCGTTCTCATGACCTGAGATGAGTTTCAGCCTCTCTGTCACCAGGCAGGGCACCGACACAGCCTGCAAACGTGATGATGACCTTGATCTACAGGAGCTACTTTGGACAATCACCGGGAGAGGCAGGGGTTCAAATCCTGTGAGCAATACATGTGGATTTGATTTTCAAAAATAGGTGAAAGGGGCCTCTCTGGTGGCGCAAGGGGTTAAGATGAAACCTATGAAGCTATCCACAGCCTCTGCAGCACGAGTTCGATCCCCAACCCACATGGCACAGCAGACCTCCCCTGACCCGCCCACTGCTCCCCTCAGCAGTGTACTTCAGTCAATCTGCCTGTTCTGTTCCCCACTCTGTCTCTGGTGAATCCTCTCACCACCACCCCCACACCTCTGGCCTGTACCCCAGTTCTTGTATGCATAAATAAATAAATCTTTAAAAAAATAGGTGAAAGGATAGCTTTGGAAAATACAGAAGTGAGTTTAGTGTCCAGTCCTGGCAACATTCTGGAAGAGATGATTAAACTGAGCTCTATTGTATGACCCCTAGCTGTGGCCTCTCCACTCTGCCCTCATCCGCCCTTACTTCCTGTCTGGTTCTCAGTGTAGCAACCAGAGGGGCCCCCGAAATCAAAACCCCCCACATCTGCTCAGGACCCACCAGTGGCTCCTTCTCTTGCTGGAAGGAAGAGCCTAATCCTCCTAGAGGCCCACACGCCTCACGGCTACTCTTCTCCTCCCTCTTGTGCCAGCCACACTTGTCGCCATGCTCTTGACCTTCATCCTTGCTGGTGTCTCTGCTGGATCACTCTTCCCCCAGGTGACTGCTAGTTTCCCTGCCCCAAGTCCTTGTTCAAAGTCCCCTTCTCAACAAGTTGCCTGGCACCCCATGGGAGCCCCCATGTGCTCCTCACACTTCCTGACTTATCCCCCCGTCAGCACACACCACCGTTCAACACCCTATATATCTAACTTGTCCTTTTCATCAACTTTCTCCCCTCACGAAAAATGCTGGGTCTGTGGTCCAGAGATTTTTATCTGGATACCCTTTTCCTGGAACTGTGCCTTATACGTAGTGATGCTCAGTAGGTATTTGTTGATTAGAAGGAGTGGGTTGGAGAGGAGGAAGGGTGATGGCGGCATATGAAAAAGGAAATCTTACTATTTGCAACAACATGGATAGACCTTGAGGGCATCGCGCTAAGTGACGCCAATCAGACAGACAGACGCTGCAGGATCTCACGCACATGTGGAATCTTAAACAAAAACCCACCCACAGCTACAGACAACAGAGTGGAGGTTGTCAGCGAAGGGTTGGGGTAAGTGTAGCAGAGGAAAAGGGCCCAAAGGTACCCAGCTATAGAATCAGTAGGTGGGGAACGTGGTGTACATACAGCACAGGGGCTGGAGTTCCAAAAACTCCATTGCCTACTTGGAGCTCACTGGACGAGGTTGTCCAGCCACCAGCTCACCCGGGACAGAGAACTGCTGAAAGGTGGGACTTTGGTGTCAAGCCAGGCGGTCCCAGCTGCTCACCTACACTGCATCAGCTGGCCCATTTACTTGTGTTGCGGAGATCACACCACAGCTCCAGGAAAGCTATGAACTCACTCTGTCCTGGCTGGGCAGAGGCCCGCGGTCCACCTTGACGGCCCCTTAGGTGGAGTAGAAATATGGCTGCAACACTGTATTTAGGCAGCGGTCTGTGCGGAGTGGCCACAATGGACGTGCTAGTGATGGGTGGGCAACAGGCTGCTGGGAAGGGCCAGAATGGAGGCCTGGCCTAGGTCTGTCCCACAACGTGTCTGAGCTGTGGATGAAGACACAGAAGGCAGAACAGGACCTTGCAGTGGCCCACGCCAGGAGAGGAAGCACTGTGCTCTGCCACCGGGCTGGGATTCGAAATCATCACAGAGATGGTAATGATAGGCCCTAAGCAACAGATTAAAACTGAAACCCAATAAATAAATCTCGCTTCCTGTTTAGAGTTAAGCAAAAAAAAAAAAAAAAAAAAAAAAGTAATCTTAAATGTACAGGACAGACCAGGCTTAATAGCTGTTTTGTTTGTTTTCAACCCAGCATGTTGAGTTGCCACGCACTCAGTCTAGTGTGAAAGCTAAGACTTCAACTGCCCCCTTGCAGTGCTAATAGACAGGCCGGGCCAAGCCGAGAGCCATCCTCCCTTCTGCTCAGAACATGCCTCAGCCGTGTGCCCAGCTCCGTTCCAGGGGAGAGGCTGCTCACTCTCATTTGCTGTTTCTAGCTATTCTAGGACACAGCAACCCACAAAATACCTTCCCCTCCCTCTTCCCAACTGGCTGTGTCCCCATAGTGTCCTCTCTTTCTGGGGAAAAGAGGTCATCGCTCCATCCTGAGGGTAGCCAGAATGTTCAAGACCTAGGGGACTCAGCTAAAGGAAATCACCATAACTATTACCCCCTCCCCACCAAGGGGATTCATATTCAAGGGCCCCAGCAGCTATAAGACACACCCCCACACACCCCCATGGATTCTGGGAAGCAGAACTGCAAGCCCAGGGGCACAGGCATCCACCATTCTCCCAGATCTTCCTGTTGGTAGCTGATGAGTTACAGACTCCCTGGGAGAGGAGAGTAGCAGAGAAATCTCCCATCTCCACCCTTAGGCACAGCTACAATTATTTTGAGCTAGCAGGGACTAGAGACCCTGTCCTCCTTCAGGTGGCTGTGAACCTGGGGCAACTTGGGACATTTTGGGGAGCAGTGGAGGTTGCATGGTTGGGGCTCAGGGCTCCGCAGGCTCTTACAGGGCTCTGGCCTTTACTTAAGGGAACAGCTCCATGTTTGATTCTCCATGTCAGGTGGGCATGGACCCTTAAAAAATGCTGCTACTGTCCTAGAGGACTGGAGAAGTGTTGAGGTCTGACTTGGGGCCTTGCCGAGACCTCCTCCCCTCAGAGCTACCGGGTCACAGAGGACGGACCCCCCTGTCACATGACGAAAGAGCTAGATCCCACAGGCCAGCTCCAGTCAGTTGGCAGGGCTGAGCCCTTGACCCCAAAACTCATCAGGTAAGACCACTATGAGGTGTGTTAGGAGAGGAACAGAAGCATGTGTGTGCCACCCCTGCTTTCCCAGCTCCTCCCCTAAGAACACACAGCCTGCTCCCGGAAGGCGCTGCCGCCCATGGAGCCTGCTGCACTCAGCCGGGAGGCGGCCATTTTGAAATGGCGCTGAGCGGCCCATTAGTTGGGCGGGGCGGAGCAGAGGGACCACCTCCTTCCGGACCTCTTTCCCGACTCTCCAGAAGCAGGGGCGCATCCTAGCCCCGCCCTTGCTCCCCAAATCATGGTCCCCAGACCTGCCACATGGCGTTAGTGTTGCCTGAAAGGCCTTAGAAATGCCAATTCTCAGCCCTGCCCAGATCTACATCAGAAACTGGTTTTTGCAAAGCCTCTGCGTGATTCTGGCGCAGGCTAATGTGTGGACCCTGCCCAAGAGGAAGGCCTCTAAAGGGCTGTTGCTGAGCTCAGAGACCTCCGCGGCCTTAGTCCTCACGGGGAGGCGCGCGGGTCCCGCTGGCTGGGTGTGCGTTCCCGTTCTAGGTTGTGGGCTGGTGTCTACTGCTCTGGCCTCCCTCTAATCCTCAAGCAGCTTCCAAAAAAGTCCGTAGATGTGTCTGCGCAGGGCCGTCCCCAGCTTCGCCTGCGGCTGCTTCTGGGTCTCAGGAGACGGTTGGCCTATCTTAGACACAGCTGTGTTGAGGCGGTGGCTTCTTCTCTGGGGCCACCGGGGCTTCCCCAGCAGCTCCCACCCTGGCTCTGCTGCCTTCCCAACACATGTTCCTCTTCGCGCTTGTCCTGAGAAGTCAATCAGGTTGTTCTTTTTTTTTTTTTTTTTTTTTTTTTTTAACACTGCAAAAGCAAACCAGGCTCATTGCAAATGAACCAAAAGGAACTGGAAAGATAAATACAGCAATTAGCTTGTCCCATAGCCCTTCCTTCCCCAAATCCTCTGCCACCCCGGTCCCCCCTTCTGCCCCAGTGAGCCGGAGTTCTTGCTGTCTTGATTATTTGCAATTCTCTGCATGCCTCTGTCTCTTGGGTTTGTTTAATTAGAAGAAGGCCGGGAAGTGCTTCCTATGCACTGGCATGTTAATTGCTTATCAGAGAAGGAGAAGGGGTGGCAACATTGGGTGATGGAAATTTCCACTCTCTCCATCTCGGGCTTTTTTGCCATTTCTCTCACCCCTCTCCTTCCCTCCTGTGCCTCCTACCTCTGTGTGCTGCTCTGGGTGCCCCTTCCCCTGCCCCCCTTCACAGGCACAGCCACTTGCTGGGGAACATGGACAGGGGCGCCTGGCAGGACAGAGTTCAAAATCTGTGGCCTCCCTTCCATCTGCCCCTGCGGGGGCTTCCCTCTGTCACCCTCTGGGCCTCCAGAGCACAGAGCTCTTTTGTTATACTTAGTAGTTAAAGCATTATTTTCCTTTCATTTTCTTTGCCCCTTATTATTGTTATTGTTATTTTTATTTTTTACAAAACAGGAGAAAAGAGTGAATTGGGTTGGGGGGAGGTGACACATTTCTCCACAAAGGTACAAAATTGCCTATAGAAAGTCAACCTCAGAGTGCCGGGCCCAGGCTGCCGGAAGGAGGCGTTCCCAGCACCCCTCTTCCCAAATGTCCTTCAGATCCAGTGGGGGCCACTTGGAGCAGTCCCCCAAGATGGGGAGGAGAAGCCTCCTTCAGTCCTTGCCCAGGAGGGGAAAGAGCAAGCAACTGAGACTGTACAAAGAGAGAGAAGAGGAGGGGACGCATCCTGTGGGCCGAGGGCCTGGGGGCACAGGCAGGGGACATCCAGGCAGCCCGGGAGCCCCTGGCTCCCAGACAACCGGGGAGGTGGGAAGCTCCAGCCGCAGGCCTTCCTGTCCCATGGAGATGCTCCTCAGAATGGCAGCAGAGGAACCCCCAGCAAATAGGGGCAATATTTTGGAGGCTGCAGGAGCACCCCCTGGGGCCAGAAGCCCTGTCTGTCTTCGTCTAGCTGCCAGGCCTCGAGCACGTGGGTCCATGTCACTTTCTTGCAGGGCATCTGGCCCAGATTGCTTCCCTTTTGATAAGAAGTAGTCCCAATTATTTCTCTGCTGCTGTGAAAGGGCTTAGCTTCAGGAATTTTGTGTCAACAGTGGTGACAGGGTCTCCCCTTCTGAGGCCCTGGGCAGCTTTCTCCCTGGATTCCAGGGCAGAACAAGGGGTGCAGACACCACCCGGACTGAGGGGGCACTCCAGCCCCAGAAAGCCCAGGCTGGAAGGAGAGACCGCCCACCCAGCCCCTGCCTGGGTTGGCCAGTGCCAAGGTGGGCCACTAGCCCAGCCGCCAGCAGGAGGATGGCGAGAACCAGGATGGCAATGAGCCCGGGTCGGTCCCCGAAGCCTCTGTGGCAAGGACCAGCCTCTTTAGTCCTGGCCCAGACACAGGCCACCTGGGTGTGGGCATCTCCAAAGGCCACTTGCAGGCAGGCCCAGTACTCGGTGGCCTGAAGAAGGCGGGTGATATTGTAGCTGTGGGTGCCCCGAGGGAGGCGGGCCATAGCTGTGGGCCCCTGGCCCCGGAAGGAGGAGGAACTGGACCAGGTGAGGTTGGTGGCGACTGTGTTGGGTGGGGGGACCCAAGACAGCAGGATGTGATAGGGGTGGGTCTCCTGCACCCGGAGCTCCAGCCCCCACCCCTCGTCCCGGTCCGGCCGACGGGGAGCCCGGCCAACCACCACGCTGACTGTCTTGGTGTCAGCCCCCACCAGGTTGTGGGCCACGCAGGTGTACAGCCCTGCCTCTTCTGCCGTCACCCTCCGCAGCTCCAGGGTTCCCTCGGGGTACACCCGATACCTCCTGCCTACACGGGCAGCTGTCAGTCGAACCCCAGCTGGAGTGACCCAGTAGATCTCGGGCTCTGGTTCAGCCAGCGCCCGGCAGTGCAGCACCAGGCTCTCACCACTGGCAACCTGGAGGCTGGGGGGGAAGCTCCGGGGGGAGATGAGGGGCAAGCAGTGATCTGTCATCTCCCGGAAGGGCACCTCTCGGACTGGGAGGCGCTGGAGGTCGGGTGGCTCGGCGCACAGAGTGGACTGTGGCTCGATGAAGCGGACATGGGTGCCCGTGGCATTGGCCCAGCGGATGACGCAGTCACAGCGGATGGGGTTGCCATGGAGACCCACCTCCTGTAGGTTGGGCAGGGACTCTACCGTCTGCTGGTGCAAGGCACTGAGAGCGTTGTTGTTGAGCATGAGGGTCTCCATCTGGGGCAGGTGGTGGAAGGCGCGTGGGTGGATGAAGGACAGCCGGGGGTTGTTGGTGATGTCCAGCTTGGTGAGCTCGGGGAGGTTGACCAGGGCAAACTTGTCGATGGAGACCAGCTCCTCCATGTTATTCAAACCCAGTTCCTTGAGGTGCAGCATATTGGCGAAGTCCCCAGGCCCCACCCGCTGGAGCGGGTTCTTGTTCAGGTCTAGGAACTTGAGCCCGGGCACCTGCTCCAGTGCCCGCCTGGGCACCCGAGCCAGCTGGTTGTCATAAAAGGAGAGGCTCTCCAGGCTTTGCAGCCCCTCTAGGGCATAGTCAGAGATCTCCCGCAGGTTCATGCCCGCCAGCACCAGGCTGCGCAGGTTGGCCAGGGGCCGGAAGTTCATGTCCAGGATGGCATCCACCTTGTTGCCGCCAATCATGAGGATCTCCAGGTTGGGCAGCATCTCGAACCAACGGCTGTCAACGGCCCTCAGCAAGTTGGAGTTGAGGTGCAAGCGCAGCAGGTTGCTGAGGCCAGCGAAGGCCCTGGGGGCAATGCGGTAGAGCTGATTGTGGTTGAGGTACAGCTCCTGTAGGCTGGCCAGCCCTGCGAAGCTGTGGTCCTCCAGCCGGGTCAGCTGGTTCTCCTCGAGGTGCAGGCTCAGCAGCTGGGGCAGGGCGCGGAAATCGCAGTCACGGGTATCTGAAAAGCTGTTCTGGGACAGGTCAAGCTCTGTGAGGTTGGCCAGGTAGCCCAGCTCGCTCTGGTCCACGCGCATGATGCCATTGCTCTGCAGCAGCAGGGTCTGTGTGCCTGCGGGCAGTGCCGGGGGCACGGCCGTCAGGAATAGGTCATTACAGTCCACGGTGGTGGCCTCTCGGTAGGATGAGCGGGGTGTATACCAGGGCCGGATCTGGCAGGCACACTGAGGGGGGCAGGGCACACGCCAGGGAACCACGGGCACAGCAGCAGTGGCGCTAGCCACCCACGCTAGCAAGAGGGGGGCCACGAGGAGCCTCATGGTGGATTTGCAGGGCAGGGAACCATCCAAAAGAAGAGCCTGGAGTACTCTGCTCTCAGCGGCTGGCAAGCTGAAGGTCAGCAGCCCTGCCCAGGGCTGGACAGCCACCCTCCCAAGGCAGTCATTCTACGAGGGGGTGGGGGGCATCACTTGGGGGCGCCCTCTTGGGTGTGGTCCTCCATCCTTGTCCACCGGGCTGCTCCTGCTCACTCACCACCACACCCCATTGGGGCAGCCCTGGAAGAAGAGGTGAAGAATTAAGGAGGAGGCAGAGGGCAATATCTACCCCCACCCTCTGTGTCTCCCCTATTAGACTCAAGGGGCCACAGGAGCTGAGGGGCAGACAGGGCCAGAGTCAGGGTTCCTGGGTTCTGTGCTGGGGCTCAGGCATCAGTGCCGTTTTCAGTGGCCTGCAGGGGAATGACTGGAAGTCTTCATGGAAGGGGTGACACTGAACCTGGGAAACTCCCAGGACTACTAGAGGAAGGTGTGCGTGTGTGTGTGCATGTGTGTGTGTGTGTGTGTGAGTGTGTGTAGAAGAGTGGCTGGCTGGAGAGGGGGGTTGTCATCCTCATGGTTCTTCTGAGCCCAGAGAGATGTGGAATGGATTCTCTGAGCTTTCTTGCATCTCTCCCTCTCCCTCCATGGCTCAGTGGGAAAACGAAAAATAAAGTGATAGTTTCTAGACATTCCTCCAACTGGTGTGGCTTGGAGCAAGTGCAACTTTCTAATTTCCAGTGGGATCCCAAAGTGCTGAAGTTGAAAGGTACTGGACCCCACATCCACCCAGGCCAGGGAAGTGGCACGGTCCTGCTGGCATCTGCTCAGGCTCTCCTGGGGTTGGGTTTTCCTTCTCCCAACAGCCTTTCCTTCCCCCAGCAACTTTTCCTTCAGCCCAACAGCTGCTAGGAAGAGGTGGTGGGATTAAGGAGCCTGGGTCTGAGCTCCTCAGCCCTTCAGGTAAGACCTTATGTGATCTGGCCCTGGTCACTTCCCCTGACTTCTCTTGTTGCCACCATGATTAGCAACTGCATACAACCTTTGGGTTGAAGGTACCCGGTTATGCCCCCCTTCTCACTGTCTATTAGACAACTCCTGCTCTTCAAGATGCAACTTACGTTAGTGACCTCTCAGGCCTGACTGGCTCAGGGGCTGTTTTGTGCTCTTTCAGTGCCCCATGCTTCCTTCTGTCATGGCCCTGGCTGCACCACATGGAAAGGTCTCCCTTGTGCTGCATTTGCTGCATAGTTCCAGTGCCTCATGTTTAGTGTAGGATCAATCTCTGTCACTCCAAGACCACCGTCCCCAATCCAGACTCCAGGCCACTGCTGTTTCCTTCCTTCTTGGTAGGGGAGCCTACCCAGGCTCTCTCTCAGATCCTTTGGCTGCAGTGCCCTGGAGTCAAGTCCAGTCTTGGCTGAGAACCAAAGATGGGAGGAAAAAGGGGGTGTGGATCTCTGCGTGGGGGCATCTCTGCAGCTGCAGGGTCAGGGAAGCCCACAAACATTTGGGACACCTGTGATTTGCCAGACCTCTTAAATGAGTGAGTATTTTAATTCTTTGAACCCTCAGCATAAGGATTAATAGTCCATTTATAGATGAAGAAACTGAGGTTCAGAGGAAGTTAAAGAACTTGGCTCCAGACACGTAGCTGAGAGGCAGTGGGAGGCAGGGAGCCAGTCCAGTCCAGAGGCTGTGCCATTTACACCTGCTTCTCTGCCCCCTGGCTCTGGCAGAACATGCTCTGGGATGCTCTGGCTGCTGCCACAGGAGGCTGGGTGCCCATTCTTATCCCTGGGGGCAAGGAGGGGCGGTACTTTACCAGGGAGCTGCAGAAAGCTGGGGTGTCTGCAGCCTGCCTCACCCCACTTCCAGGATATTGGGCTGGGGAGGGGGCAGCTGGAGGCATGGCACCCTTCCCTGAGCGGGAGGGGAGCCTGCTGTTTACACTTGGCGACTTCCCACCTTCCTCTGCAGCTATTTCTGAAGGTGGAAAAAACAACCGTGACTTAAAATGCACAGAGGTTTTGCGTGGGGCTGTGTGTGCACTGACGCGTAAAACTTAGGGCAAACAAACACACGTGCACACACGCGTGCCTGCCTGCATACATGTGCAAAGGGGAGTCTGGGAATCCAAGCTGGTGACTGGTGGTCAGCAGGGGGTGGATTCTGTGGTGTACCAGGTGGGTGCAGGGGGAGCAGTTTCAGGCTGAGTCCCTGAATGGCCCTGTTGTGGAAGTGGATCGAAGGCAGTGGTCCTACCAAATTACATGCCAGAGGCCCCTGCTTCCTGCCAGGATCTGGAGGAGACCCCGGCAGCCAAGAGATCTTACCCTCTTCGCCATGTCCTGCAGGATCCCTGGGAAAATTTACTGACTGTTCTGGGTGTCTCTGTGTGGCTGAGAGGAGCTGCCATCAGGATGAAAGGAGCTGAATGTGACGCACAGGAAGGGCTCATGTTAGTGCCCTTCCAGCAACTGTCATGCCCCGAGGTCAAGAGCCCCCAGCTACAGGACTTCTCAGGGGGACCCAACAAGCCCCTACTAAGCTTGCTCACTATGGACTGGGGGTGGGGGGTGGCGGAGGGAGCTGTGATCAGACAGAGCAAGCATCTTTTCAGAGGGCACTCTGGCAGGACCCCAAACGCAAAGCATTAGGAGACAGTTCGCTAGAGGAAAGCAGGTTGGAGCGGGTGGAGAGGGGGCTGCAGCCAGGCCCTAGTATCTCTGGCTTCTGAACCCTGAGCCCAGAGGTCGCTCCTTGACACTTGTAACACCTTTGTCTACAGCTGCTCAACTCGACAGAGGGGAATGGACCGAGAAACCATTTAAAACTGAATCGAAAATCTCCAAAGACGGGCCTTCCCAGCCAGCAGCACTCCTCCTGGCCCTCTGGCTAGGCTGGCTGGGCGGGGGCCTGGGGAGGCCAAGGCTTGATGACTCGTGTTCATGCTGTTCCTCTGCTCCTGGGCCTGGCAAAGGCCCAGAGCACCCTCCCCGGCTGCTGAGCACGCAGTCCCTTCCAGGAGAGGACTCCTGGAGCTGCCCACTCACCTGCCATCGCCATTTTAGGGTGTCTTGCACATGGCCCACTCATGCAAGCTGATTAGCAAATGCACCGGAGCTGTAGAGAAAGCTAATCGCCTTTTAGCTCTAACCTCTGGGGTGAGCGGGAGTTCAGACTTGCACGTGCACATTTTCCCCAACTGGATCTCAAGCTCCTTGAAGCAGGGGCCGTGACTGATGTGTATTCTGTGTCCCCACAGCACCGAGCGTGGGGCTGAGCTTGCAGAGAGGGCACTTGGGAGTGGATACAAACAGTAACGTGTAATCTCACCATCAGCCCCGTGTGTGCGCAGAAGGGATCATTTTGTCTCCTATCGCAGGGGAAGTGGCTGTGAGAGGTTAAGTGACTTGTCAGAAGTTGCACAGCTTCTATGTGGCAGAGTCAAGATGAGACCCACATCTTTGACTCTCTAGCCTGCCCCGCTCACCCAGCCAGTGCTCGCTGCCTGGCAGATGGCTGCCTGCCTCACCGAGCGAGCGGAGTGAGACAGGGCTGGCCCAGAGGCTGCTGGGAATTGCACAACCCTTCAGCAAGCCCTGGGCACTTAGCTCCTCTTCCCCCACAGCTACTTGTTGGGCCTCTGCTCCCCCATCCCTCAACTGGGTGAGAGTACCGCTGACTGGAACCCCTGCCTGTGGGTAGCACTGTTCCCATTGAGCATGGCTGGGCTGGGAACCAGGGGCACGAGCCCACAGGCCACTCACCGACCTCAGCCTGCCTTCCGGTGGGGGCTGCTTGTTGCATCGGGGCCTACTGGCCAGCCATGGACTTCAGTGTCAGGAGCTAGAGACCATGGGGACCACGGCAGGGAAGTAGGTTGCCCACTCTGGGTTGCCCACTCTGGGTCAAGATTTCTCTCAGAAGGGTTGGTTCTAGAAACCCTGAGAAGAGTCACCTAATTAGTCACACACCTAATCTCATCAGCAAACCCTGTCTAGCCTCACTGTTAGCATTCTCTCGGCGGCTATGCTGGAATTCGCAGACAGTGTGGACTCGACCCCTTAGACTCCCTATTAAACTAAGACTCTCGGTCAAGCTCTAAACGAAGCGTTTGGGAGAGGCTGCTGCCAGGAGCCAGAACTAGCCCTTTCCCTTCCCTTCCTCTCTGCCCTGGCCCCAGCGCAGCAAGTGCCCTCTGCTGGGGTCAGAGGTTCTACCTCCCCGCCTCCCCCCTTCTCTGGTGGCCCCTCCCAGCCAGCCCCCACCCCTGCTCTCAGCTGATAGTCCGGAGGCAGGAGCCTGCAGTGATCGATTGCCTGGCCTTGCTGCTTCGGTGCCAGGTCCCCCTGAGCTGTGGAGACAGATGGGCAGCATAATTGAGTGTAGCGTTGATAAACTCCGGCCTCCTCGCCCGCAGATAAGTGCTGGGTGGGAGGGATGCAGAGGGAGGGAAGGCGGCCCTCCTCAGCGCACCTGGCCTCCGGCTCCTCTCGGGAGGTGGGCATGGCCCCTCACTCCCACCTCTCATTTAATCACAGACAACCAGGACCTCAAGAGCTGGAGGAGACCTCCGCATTTATCTAGTCTTCCAGATTCTGAATTCCATAAATAACTTATGCAAAGGAGGGGTTGTGGGGTGGGAGGCGCCCAGGCTCTGCAGTCTGAGCTGGAGCCTGGCTCTGCTGCTCACCGTGTGACCTTGGACAAAGCACCATCTGACCTCGCCTGCCTGAACTGCAAAATGGGAATAACCTCCTCCCCAGATGGCTGTGCAGAGCCTGCTGCCAGATGCATGAAGGGCCTGCATCACCATCATCTGGCCCCCGATACTGTTACCTCTCATTCCAACTCACCACCTACTTCTCAATTTTTAAATTTTTTTCTATATTACTGCCACTGACCCAGGCACAGCTCCATGCACACTACATTTGTAGATACAGGCCAGCTACCACCTGGCGAAGAGATATGTATTTCCAGCATTCCAGAAGGTTCTCAAGTGGTCTTTCCTGGCCTATATCAAGCCCCCCATCTGGAGCTAACCACTGTTCTCACTTCTCTCACCACCCATCAGTTTCATCTTTTAAGTCCACAATTCTCTCTTCTCCACTGCATCTTGGGAACAAGTTGGCTCTGGCATCAGGGAGCTCCAGAACCTCCCTAATGCAGCCCCTCCTTCAAAGTACTCCTCGTGGTCTTATGCTTAATCTGCATCTCCAGGAGGGGAGACCAAT